GGATTATTACCAAAAACTAATCAAAACCTAGCATTAGTTCAGAGCATCTATGTACCAAGTTTCATCAAAATCCAATGAGTGGTTCTTTAGATATCAGTGGAACAGTCATAGAACAGCTAAAAATTAGCGAATTATCATGCAAATTAGGTAATTAACGAGCATGGATTTTTCCCAAAACCTAATCAAATCTGCGCATTGGCCCAGAGCATCTATGCACCAAGTTTCATCAAAAACCGATGTATGGTTCTTGAGATAGCAGTGGAACAGTCGGACACACATACACACATACACACACACATACACACATACACACATACACACATACAGACACACTAACTGCAAAGACTCCCATTTTGTGCTTCGCACATGGGAGTCAACAAAATCAGCCATTTTGAATACATGTATAATGAATATATAAAATTTGAACATAGTCAGTCAAAGCATTTCAGAGATATGGCTCTAGAAGCCCATTCATTAAAACAAAATGGCCATGAGTCAGCCATTCTGAATCAGATCTAAAAAATAAAATAAATGTGCATCAGGAACCCGCAATGTCTAATGTATGTACCAAGTTTGAACGAAATCCCTCCATAAATGCCGGAAATATCTGAAATAGTGATATCTGATGATTTTTTAGCACAAAAATGGCCACCATTCGACCATTTTTAACAGGATCGTCAAACCAATAAATCTGTATATCTATAACATGATGTATAATGAATATTTAACATTTGAACATAATCAGTCACAGCAAGTCAGAGATACGGCACCAGAACCACATTTATTAAAACAAAATGGCCGCCAGTCGGCCATTTTGAATTTTATCTGAAAACAAAATAATGTGTATCAAGGTCCTATAATGTCCAACATATATACCAAGTTTGAACAAAATCTATCTGTAAACAGCCGAGTAAAGCTTGATTTTGATGATTTTTAGCACAAAAATGGCTGCCATTCGGCCATCTTGAATCAGACCGTGAAACAAATTGCGTGCATATGTATAAGATGTATGATGTATGTGTGAAGTTTGATTGTGATTGGTCCAGGCATTTCAAAGATACAGGTCCAGACGCACGCACGCACAGACGGAAGCATAGACGCACAGAGGTCAAAACACAAGTCCCTGTTTTCAGACTGCGTTCGAACGGGGACTAACAAACAAGATGACCACCAGTCGGCCATATTTTATCAAATTGCAAATTGAATTGACATGTACATGTATCGATTTATGACATGCTAAATATCAATGTAAATGATACATGGGTGACAGAGATATAGTAATATTCGGTCGTCTTTGATCTGATTATGAAACAAACTGACATGTATGATGTATGTGCCAAATACAAATGAAAATGGTACATAAATCTTGGAAATATAGTAGTAACAGAAGTTTTTCTAAACCGGGGAACAGGGGCGCAGCGCCCTGATACTCTCGGCTGGCGCCCTCTTACCGAATTGCCGATTGATCTGCCGTGCTGCCGTACAACATGAAATTTTTCTCAAATATTTTGTTCTCCGGAAAACTTCCCAGCAACACCAGCTGACAATGTGCCTGGACAACAAATACACTGAAATTACTCCAAAAATATTTCAATGGCGATAGATACACCTCGCCTGTGTGTGCTCTCTCTTGTTCATTTTTTCTAAAAAAAAAAACTGTAGTAAGGCCAAAAAGTCAGATGGCTGTCAATCGGCCATCTTTGATCCAATTGCCAAAGAAATTGTCATGGACATGTATCCTGCCATGTATAAAGTATGTGCCAAATTTGAATGAAAACTGACAAAGCATGTCCAAAATACAACATTTTCAAAAAACAAGATGGCTGCCAGTCGGCCATTTTGAATTGAATAGCTAAACCACTGCATATGCATATGTCCCACATAAAGTACTAGGCACATGCAAAAAATGAACAGAATCGGTCCAGAGTATTCTGAAATATGACTCCGGACAGACGAATGCACAGATGGACAGACAGATGCACGGACGGTCGGAGGACGTGTAGTCTAACATGTATAATCTATGTATCAAATTTGAGTGAAAACTGACAAAGCATGTCCAAAATACAACATTTTCAAAAACAAGATGGCTGTCAGTCCGCCATTTTGAATCGAATTGCTAAACCACTGCATGTACATATGTCCCACATAAAGTACAAGACACATGCAAAGAATGGAACACAGACCAGGGATCTGCCCACGCTGGTCAACGCCGGTCGCTAGCGACCGGCACTCAGAATTTCCGACCAGGACAAAAAGTTGGCGACCAGCACTCTTCTATTTGTTTATGATACACACAGGATGTCGGCCACTGGACCATCATTCTATTGTGGTTTTAACACACAACACAATGCAACAAATTAACACAACAAAATTTGAAAGAAGATACCGCTGTTCAAAATCAACGTACACGTTGTTTTAACCTCCGATTGACATTCTGTTAGTTTTAACAAACGAACCAGATCGGAATAAATCGTATATCAAGAAAATGAAAGGGGAGACAATGATAAATAAACAGAAGGAATGATTACCATTGCAAGTTTAGTTGTGTGTAGGATTTGCCGAGTTTAACAATAACTTGCTCACTTCACCGGCAGCGATGCGTCAAGCTGTCGTTCGTTTAATCTGCACTTGCACTTGAGTGTAGTAACCGTCATTGATGTTTTTGGCTTCATGACTCGTTTATAAAAATAAATTCATAAGGTATATTCAGTCAGCGATACAAGGAATACTAATTTCTCACTATTAATGTGATTTACCAGCGTTCCATCGGAAAAGAAAACAATTAATTTCTTGTTGCCACTTTTGCCGTAACAAACTGACGACACGCTTTGAAAAAAAAAATGGCTGCCAGGTCAGAGGTCAATGTCTAAAAATACGTATTTTAGACATGATTTCAAAAATAAAGTGTATATATTTTTTCACTTTTATTAAACCAGATTAATTTTATATTGAAATATTAAAAATAAATAAAAGTTAAAATAATTAAAGTAGTTAATTCGTAGCTAGTAGAATGGGAAAATGAATATTAATTAGCTCATGAATATTAATTAGCTCATGAATATTAATTAGCGACCAGCACTCAAATCAAGCTGGGCAGAACCCTGACAGACAGACACAAATAAAACACAGACAGATGTCAATGTAATAAAATGAATGAAATTTGCTCACCTTAATACCTTGTTTCTTTTTAAAACTTTCATCATCACTGTCTCTATCTTGTGGTGGAACCCTTTCAATCATGAATGTTTTACTGACAACATTACTTTCTCTTCCATCACTAATATGACAAAATATAACAGTTATCTACAAACTAAGTAATACTAGTAATCAGTTTGGCACAGCGCTACTCAATCTTATTAATGTAGAAGTATGTATTATATATATGAATTCAATTTAAATTAAGTTTTTTAAGTTTTTGATAATCATAGAAGGTCACTTGTGCTTAAATAAAAAAGCCCTTAGTAGGATCTTATTTTAATCAGATTGGGGTGTTTGAAACCGAAATTGTCATTTTTTAAATACCCCAGGAAAGTGTTCTAGGTTCTTCGTGTAATTAGGTGTTTGTATGCAAGGGATTTTTCCACACAAAAACGACGAATTAGACCGAATTTTGATTTCGGTTGGCTTAATATAACCCCAACGGACCGTATTTTTGTAAAAGATTGGTATTTTTGTCCAGAATTATAGGAATCTGAAAAACGCGTTTCACAACTTGTCTCTTATTTAGTTTTATGTGTCATTCAAGATGGCGGCCCCCATATAGTAAATATCGTATTTATTTTATTATCACACATGCACCAGCTGACTGTGGTTTTTATCTCCACAATATACGCAAGTTCGAAATACCTTGTACTCAGTAAAATTTACTCTTTATTTTCATATCTTGTGTGCTATTGTATATAAATATATATGCAATGTACTTACCCACTAACAGCTACTGCTTTCACTGTTCTTTTACCTTCACCTAATAAAAAAGGTCTTCTGTACTTCAAGGTAGTTCTTTCTCCTTGCTTTTGAAATGGCTCTGGTTTAGTACCATTTGTGGTATAGTAAATTTCTGAGCCTTGGGTATCTAATAAATATAAGATATGGTCATTCGAATTAAAGCTACATGTATGTATTAAAACTACACTAACTTTTATAATGAAATAAAAATGATTTTCAGGCATGTTTTTTGGGTTAAAAATCAAAAATGGTGACAAGTCATATAATGAAGTTTGTACTCATGATATTGGTAGTACATGTGTCAATGATGCAATAACACACAATTCAAATTGATGAGACACCTGGAAGTATGAGAAATAGTTCCCCAAAATCCAAGATGGAGGCAAAACCATGTGACCAATCATAGATTATTGGTAAATTTGAATGGACTTGGTACATAACATGCCACATGCCAAACTTCAAATCAAATCATGAGGCTAGTGGTTTTGAACAAGATAATTTTCAAGCATTTCAATACATTTTTCATTAAACAAGACATGACATGTCATGTCATAGCCCCCACTCAGAAAAAAATTTAAAAACTTATAATGAAGCTGAGCTGTATTAAAATTCCGTTATTAAATGTTCAGAATTAATGTGTTACAATTTTAGGGGGTGGGGTTAAAATTTATTCATTTGGCTTTTCTGAGACAATTTATAACTTGTTAAACATATAATGCGATGTGCACTTGTAAACAATTATTACCTGTCCCTGTACCAACTTTGAACAAAACTGAATGACACATATCTGAGAAAAAGCTTGTTTTTTTTAGATTTTAGAGGGAAAAAATGGCCTCCAAGTCGTAAAACTTTTTTCAATCAAACAGGTCATGAATAACACTGAAAGTTGCAACATATAATTTGTCCAGTTTTTGGCATGGATGTAAATTGGCAAAGATGATTTCTATGGCATTTTCAAGTTTATAGCACTCTCCATCCTGGTCTCAGCAAGAACACCAGAGAGCAACAAACAAGTACAACAGGTAAAATGACATGCAAGTATGCAAATCAGATCTGCAAATATGTTGAAGAGTCAGTGTTGTGTCTGTTTGGATAAACTTCCTTGTACAACTGTATTCCTAATACAAGAACACTGTCAATCACAGAACTGTTCCAGCGAAAAACTTCTGATATTTCAAACAGTAACAGGGCAAAGATACCGTTTGTCATACAAGTACTAGGCCCAGATGAGGAACTGAGAAACTGCAATGATCCTTGGTGTACATTACCTGTGTCAACAACTTTACTTCCCATGTACTTCATGTAGTTTGTGGCCCTGAATTAGTTTCAATATCTCTAAATAAGGACAAGAGTACTTCTCATATGACAATGATACAAATAAAGTGCCAGAACGCAGAAAAATATTATCAAGTTTTTATTATCATACATTAATATTAACAAATCGTGTGAAATTGAAACACATATTTATGTTTTGGTTGACAGCACTTATAAAAAAAAAAAAAGACGACCTGCAAAAGTTTATACATTTGTCAGACATGCAGCGAATAGTATGCTTTTGTAATATATGCAGTTTCAGTGGCTTTGTTTTCCC